TTGTGTGTAGAACTGCAAGTTAATAAAAGAATGTGGGGGTAAAGAGAGAAAGAAGAGTACACAGTAGATGAGCACAATGAGACTTAGTTTTCAAACTTGTTCTTTGTTTTGGCTTTTATTGGTCATATCACACTCTTTATATAGATGATCTACTTAGCTCTCTGTGTTGATTCTTAGCTTTCAAAGGTAGCTTTTGGCCTCACCCTATACTCTTACAAGTTACTGCACATATACATTGTTATGGACTTGCCACTAGTGACAAAACCTTTTTGCATATTAATTTAATTACACACATATATAAATAGAGTTAGATGGTGTGTATATAAGACAAAACAATAACTGAAAATCTTAGGACCAAGAATGGAGGCATAACCAAAGGAGAGGGGAACCACATTGTCAGTTTTTATGGAGTTTTTGGGGACCATTAATTTCTTTTCACTCTTTCTCTTTCACTTATTTAAGCTTAACTTTGACAAAATAAGTACCCCCACCTATATTTATGCATGAAATTACAAATATTTATATAAAATCTCATCAATGTTCCTTCGTTTTTCTTTTCAACTACATTTATGTTTCCAGGGCTATAAAAACTAAGTCAATTAAGACGGTGGTTTAAATGTTAATGCCCACAAGTAGAGTTGTGTAAATGTTAAAAAGTTCCAAGTTTAGACGATCCGTCAATTATTATTAATCCAGACAGATTTTGATCTACCATTTATTGGGTTTACACTATCTTCTTAAGTGAATATTTATTAATTTGGTGCAGAATCAAAATTTATCTTCCTATGAATTTTTATATTAATATGAATGTAACAAAATCAAATTTTCTTTTAAAACTAAAATGGCCTCCAATATTTTGATTTTATCTTGGTTTGTTCAATATAAAAAGGATGATGTGTTATATGCTTTATCAGTTCTTAATACATAGGAAAACAGCTACCCAAAAAATAACCTAAAAATTCCAAGTTTGACCCTTTGATACAACAAAATATATCGATCTGTATAATACTAGAGA